AGTATGGTGTGTCAGAATGGACGAAAGACTTTGAGCCTAAAAAAGACAGAGTTCACACCAGATCTGACCTCTGTCTATTGTGTAGATCCGTGCACATGGCTGAACCCAGCCAGGCCTTAGTTTCTTCATTTGTAAAACAGAGTAATTCCTACCTCGTGGTTACAGCGTAGAAATTAGGGCTACTGTTGTACATATCGCATCTAGGCTTCAACACCAAGAGTAACTGTGTCATTGAAGCTGAGTTACTTAACCTCTCTGAGTTGAACTGCAGTTTTCTCCTCTCTCAAAGAGGAAATACTAGATCCAAAGCACGGTCCTGTGAGCAGAGCCCGTTCTCCACGTTGCTCGTTACAGGGCTTATTAACGCCTCCCTCTGTCTCCCAGCTCTGTGCCTCCTCCTCCCTTCCTGAGGATGCTTTACAGAGATGTGAATCCCTTTAGGTGTTGCTGGTTCCTTGGCCATAATTTGGAGGAAGGAAAATTTGTGTTAACAAATGACTCAAGTTATAAAGCGAGGTGGTGGTAATCAACCAAAATGAGGCTGCACGTGTGCGTGCCCAGCGCTGTGCCCACCTCGTGGATGATCAGCCCATGGTCTTTACTTGGGAAAGGAATGACAGTCTCAAAAGAAGTCCTAAGAATGGTAACTCCAGAAATTAGCACAAAAAGTTCACCAAAGTGCTTTTGCCCATCGTGAATCCTTTTCTGGTTGTGTGGTGAAATAGAAAATATCTAAAAATAGAAAATGCTTCCTATATGCCTTATCTTAGTGAAGTAATAAAATTTGTTTGTAAATGCAGCGAAGATATTAGTATACCCATTTTGTAAATAAGGAAGCCATTAGGTGTTAGGTAATTTCTCCAGGGCCACACCAAAGTGATGAGCAGGATTCCCAAAGAGGCTTCACTGCTAAAGAGAGTTAAAATGCTACCACAGTATTCTGGTGGTGGTGGTGGTGTGTGTGTGTGTGTATTTAAGGCCAAGATTATGTGCCTACCAAACACGTATCAGTAAAAGGTCAGAGAACCATAGCGCTTCAATGTAAGGAGCATAATACCTATCAAAATATTATAGAGGCTTTGGGGAAATAAGTGAATTCACAAAGAAATCAAATATTAAATCTATTTTAATTATTTTTGTATCTTGATACTTGTATTTTATAAACTCATTTTTAATTCTCCTAAATGAGTCAGATCTCTCATTTTTTTTCTTGAGCAGAATAACAATCATAAGCAACCCACTACCTTACTTTCTCTTGTTTATTAGAGTAGCTCAGGGCTGTTCAGGCTGCACAGAGCAAAGCAGTAGAGTTCCTCGGAATACGAGCTGAGCTGGGCTCTGGAGGGCTATGAGCAAGCAAACAGAAGAAAGCATCTTGGACTCTGGGCTTTAGGAATACCTGTCCCTACAATAAAGGGAGAGAATGGCAGTCTGGACAGTAGAAAGACATTAATATAAACCTTGTAGGTGAGGCGATTTGTCACACCATTGAAGAAAGGCTAACAATGTCTGGCTTACTTCTCTTTTCCTAAGAAGAAAAAAAGACTAATTCCAATCACCATGATGACCACCTTTTTAAAAAGATTTTTCCTCTCCAGTTGCGGAAAAATTTCTTCCCGTCCAATCACAGAAAAAAACTCTTGCATTAACACCATAAAGCTGTGAGATTCATGTTGAGAGGTGAGGCAGTTTATTTTAGGCTTTCAGGGTTATATCTACGAGAGACCTGATAGAGCCCCATGTTTAATAGAATCTGGGAAAAGTAAGCCTCTTTTTAATGGAATTTTTGCTATACTTTGTCAGAGATAAGTACTTATTTGCTACATTCCCAACTATAAGACAGATATTTATCCAGTTTTGGGTGATTATGAATAGAGCTGCTGTAATCATTTGTGTGCAGGTTTTGTGTGAACATAAATTGTAATTTCTCTAAAGACCAAGAAGTAGAATTGCTGGGTCATATGTGTGTGTATTAAGCTTTATAAGAAAAATAATAGGGATATAATGGTATCTTGTTGTAGTTCTAAGTCTCATTGTCCGAATAATCCGTGATGTTAACTATCCATGTGCTTATTTGCCATATATGTATCCCCTTTGGTGGAATGTCTGTTTCAGCCTTTGGCCCATTTTTTAATTGGGTTGGCTGTTTTCTTACTGTTGACTTTTAGAGGTTTTTATACATTCTGAATACAGTCCTTTTGTCAGATATATAATTTGCACATATTTCCTCCCAGTCTGTAGCTTGCCTTCATTCTCCCAACGGTGCAAATGGTTTTCATTTTGATGAAATCCCAACTTTTCTTTCTTCTTTCTTTCTTTCTTTCATTCATTCATTCATTTTTTGATCATGCTTTTCACATCATAGGTAAAAACTCTTCACCTAACTCTAGGTAACAAATACTGTTTTCCTTCTGTTTTCCTCTTAGAAGTTTTCTATTTTACAGTTTATGTTTAGATCCATGATCCACTCTGAGTCAAGTTTAGAATAAGATACAAGGTTTAGATTGAGTTTTGTTTTCCTCTTGATATCCAGTTGTTCCAGCACCATTTGTTAAAAAAGACTATGCTTTCTCCATTGAATTACTTTTGCACATTTGCCAAAAATCAATCATTCATATGTCTGTGGATCTATTTCTGGAGTCTGTATTCTCTTATATTGATCTGTGTGTCTGTCTCTTACCACTACCACACTGTCTTGATTACTGTAGCTTTATAGTAAGTCCTAAATCAGGAAGTGTGATTCTTTGAACTTTATTCTTACTTTTCAATTTTGTGTTTGGCAATTTTAGTTCTTTGGCCTTTCCTCATAACTTTAGAATCAACGTCTCTGGATCAACTAAGAAGAATCCTGCTGGAATTTTATTAGCATTGCATTGGTCTCTATAGATCAGTTTGGGGAGAATTGACATTTTTTTTTTCTTTGCAATCTTTCAATTCATGAACACAGAATGTCTCTCTCTATTTAGGTCTTCTTTAAGATTTTCCTCAGTGTCTTGTAGTTTGGGTTTCTTTCTTTCTTATCTCTGTGCCATTTTTCCCGCCACTGGCTGGGACTCATTGTACATAATGTTGAGTTGGAGTGTTGAGAGTAGACATCCTTGCGTTGTTCCTGATCTTAGAAATTATTTAGTCTTTCACCATTGACTGTAATGTTACCTATAGGTATTTCTGTAGATGCCCTTTTCAGGTTGAGAAAGTTTCCTTCTACCCTTAGTTTTCTGAGAATTTTTATATTATGAATAGAAGTTGGATTTCATCAGGTACTTTTTCTGTGCCACTTGAAAGGATTGTGTGTTTTTTCTTTATTAGGCTGTTAATTTGAAGGAATTGTGTAAGAGCTGGAGAGTGAGAGAATGCAGAAAAGAAAAAGAAGAATGGGGGATTTTTCCCCATGCGCTCTGAGCATCCAGAGAGCCCTTTCCCTGAGCCAGGCTTCCTTCCGCTAGAGCCCTCAGTCCATGCAGATGTCTGCTCCTGGATTTCAGGCTGCATTGAGTCCAGTCTGGGGGATCACAGAGGGGAAACAGTGGTGAATTCCCTGCTGGTTGGGTGGTAGTTTACATTCTTTCCCAGATCCCAGCTACTGTTGACCTTTTGGAGTTTTTAAACGGTTGCTGCCCTTCTTTTGTCCCGGTTTAATGGCTGCATTCAGTGGGGGAGACTCAGTGGGCTGTGCTTGCTTCCTCTCACCTGTAATTAACCCAGCTTTGCTTCCTTCTCCACAGTCTGCAGGCACATTATTAGACTGACTTGCCGAATTATGTAATCTGTACATTTGAAGAATTAATGCTAATCTGAGGTCACAAGATGAATTTAGGTATTGTAGTACCTAAATAGTATGTTCTAGTTAAGTGTAAGCAATAATCCCTATAAATGAGAAGTACGTAAAACTTAATTATAAGAATATTTTTAAATTGATCTGTTTCCTAAGAATTCACCTCTGACTGTATTTTTTATTGTCATGTGTTTTGGGGCCTGGGTGGAGGTTTCCGCTGGAGGCCTGGGGGTGGGCACGGAGAGGGGGCCGAGAGGCAGATCCGGGAGTGAGTGGAGCTATGGCGATGTCAGGTACTGAGAAAACTGTCCATACCGGACAGAAGAAGAGAGGAAAAACAGAGGGTGGAGGGGTGCCGGCGCTGTGACGTTGAGACCTTTGGTCTGAGAGGCAGAGGAGAAAAGCCTGAACAGGTGTGTACAGGCTGCCAAACGCCAGGAGGAAACAAGTTTCAAGAGCACGTAGTCACCGCGGGAAGCGGTGTTGAGAATGAGGATGGGGCAGTGCCATCATTGTGTTGTGTGAAGACCTTGGAGGGCTGTTTCACTCATCCAGTAAGGAAATGGAGGAACAAGAAAAATAGGAATAAGAGTAGGATATTATTTTATGTGTAAGTTTTAACTGTTTGACTGTAAACTCATAGACCATGGGGGCAGTGTTAATAGCATCTTTATTACCCATAGCGCTGCGTATTGCAAACATGCGGTTAAGACTTTTGCTCATTTGAATGGCACCCCATTACCAGCAGTGTCTGCGCACTGAGGTCTGGTTATAGACTAGCAGACATTGTGGGGTGAGGCTGGAGAAATGTCCGGTTGCAGAGTTGTTGTTGAGAGCAAAGGGACTCCTTTGCTCTCCTATTTGATTTGTTCTTTGTAGCCCACTCACTCCCGAAACTGACTTTGAGGAAGCTAACAGGTGACTGCAACAAAATGATAGCACATCGTTAGGATGTCTTCCCTCAGACAGTAGCCTTTTTTTTTTTAAAGAACTATGAGATGCCTTGCTAAAGTACTTTACTTTTGCTGTTTTTTGGAAGGGAGAATATGATCTGTTTTCCAAGCTGCCCTGTTCTCTGTTTGTCCTGAATTACTTCAGCTTGTTTTTCTTTATTCCATAATAGTGTTTTAGGGGCACCTAAGAAATACTCCACACAATGTTTGTTTCAAACGAGGAACTGCTGCTTCTTAAACCTGCAATGTTTGTATTTTTTCCCTTTTCCCAGGATCAGAATTCAGGCTGTAAATGAAATTGGAGCTGGGCCGTTTAGTCAGTTCATTAGGGCAAAAACTCGGCCGTTACCACCCTTGCCTCCGAGGCTTGAATGTGCTGCCGCAGGGCCCCAGAGCCTGAAGCTGAAATGGGGAGACAGTAACACCAAGACACACGCAGCCGATGACATGGTGTACACACTGCAGTTGGAGGACAGAAACAGGAGGTGAGGTGGTGGGGAGGGCACGCGGGGCGGTTCTGTGCCTTCGGTGTGCGGAATGAATCCTAACTTGTTCGTCGGTCCTCTGATAAAACACTCGTCCTCCTGGTTGAACGATTTCCTATGCATTGGGGTCCTGCATTTTGTAGCCTCCATCCTCCATTTAGAATTTTCTAAACTAACATTCTGAAGACCCTGGTTTGCCTACATGTGATAATCTATGTGTTTGTTTTTTCTTTCATAAAGCCAGATAATGGAGAGAAATTCTCTAAAAGGAAAGCTGCCAGATTCAAGTCCATGCTGTGTTAGAGCGTTCTATTAGTCACAAGTGCAAAGGGAAATAAGACTCAGGAAGAGATGTTAGCTTTTTAAATATTCAGTAACCATCAGGACAAACATGTTTACCAATCTGAAATAGCTGTGGTGGTGTACAGATGGGGATTATACTCTGTAACTTTGGGCAATGCAAGATCAAATTAACCAGAGCAAACAGGAGATTCTTTATAAGACTCCACACCCAGGAAATACTCTTGGCCACAGAAATCAAATCCAGCCTTTCACGTAGTATTTATTTAGCTTAACTTCATTTCCTCTGAAAATGGCCGATCAGAAGATGGGCCTCTGCACTGTATTTAGGAATAATTCAGATGCAGAGTAAAAGGTACTGATGACAAAATGTTCTGTGACCAAAAGTCCAAATCCAGAGAATCAGGTGAAGGAGGTGGGGGGTGACCACAAATCCAAGACACTCTGATGGGATGGGTACGTGCTGCTACTTCCCCAAGGCATATCTACAGAATACAAAACCATTTCTGTCCTTCCCACGTTATGCATTATAGTCCCCTGCTCCTTTCACAGGTTACTGGTTTAGTTAGCACAGAAACCCCTGTCCCATCCTCACCCCCCACTCTGTACTCGACTGCATTGATTCCTTTCAGTGCAGTGGAGTCCCGCTGTGTGGAAGGCACTGTTTGAGGCGGACCTTCTAGTGGAGACCCAGATCAAGGAAAAACAAACCCCTGCCTCCAGCAGCATAATATCAACCCCCAAATAGTCTCAGAACATGAATGCCCTTGGAGAAAAGTGCTCTGGGAGGCTGGAGGAGGCAGAGAGCATCTGGTTGCAAAGACCAGAACGGCTTTTTGGGTGACATTTGAACTTGACTTTGAAGGACCTATCAAGCCCCATAATTTGACTATAAAAGAACAAAAAGTGATTGTCCTATTGGAAACTAGTCCTGGTCTAGAAAGTACAGAGAAAATGAGGCTTCTTTTGGTAAGTTCATTAGAGATTAAATATATACTTGTCATAGACAAGATCATTCATCTTACTCTGCTTTATACCTTTGGAGGCATTTTCACGGGTTATTTTACTGGCAGGGGACTCCTCAACTGGAGAGGGCTGGCAAGAACAAGAATTATGGACTAACAGAAATCCTGATAAATATTTAAAGCTAGCAGTTGGGGAAATTTGTAAATGAGCCTTTGTTTTTTCCCTGGGCTTTTGGCTTCCTTTGGTGGTAGAGAGAATCTTCATTAGAGAGTTGTCTTCTAGTCGTGTCCTGCTTTAGAAAAAGAGGTCCAAAGATGTTGACAGTGGTTGCAGAATTGGGATCAGAGTGGGGGCTGCCTAACTCCTCATGCAGTTGCCTCTACTGTTACCTCGAGGAATGTGGGGAGAGCAGCAGCTGTGCCCCAAACCGGCTGTGGGCACCCTCTTGCAGGCCTGCCCTGTGCTGGGCATCTGCCGGGGGGCACCTCGTATGGAGAACTGTACAGATGCTCAGAACAAAAGTGCCATGAACACTGATCTAAATAGGTAAGCTGTCATGAGACATTTAAATGTGCCAGACAGAAGAGAGTGCCGAATCTAGTAATCAATTCATGCTATTAAAAAAGCGCGGGAGGCCCCAAGATGGCACCGTTAATCAAATAAATGACTTGCCTAAATTTAAATGGCAATTTAAGAAAACTTACCATTAGGAACAGTATTTTTCTTAATTTTATGATCTGGAGTCCAAATTTATCTTTTTTAAATTAGATTTGTCAATGCTCTCAAAGTTACTAAAGTGATGGGAGTATAGAGCATAATAAATTCTCGTTCTGTTTGTGGAATAATTTTCCTGTGATTTAATAAGATGAAACTTCGCCTAATTTGAGTTTGAAGATGACCTTCCTTAGTGACTTGAAACTGAACTCTTGTATCGATTGGCCCCTTAAATCCAAGCCTTTATTTAACTTTGGATCTTGACTCATGAGGGTTAAGGAGAAATCATCTGCATTGGATACATTATAATTCTTGTGATTAGCATAGTTTTTGTCCATTCTAGTCTCCTCGAGGTTCTTTAGGACTTCACCTGGCTTGTCCAACTGAAAGTAAGTGTCATCATTCAAGGAGCAGATTTTTCATTGAACTCATCGCCACAGTGATTTCCAGTTGTTACTTTTGGGAAAAGTACACATATTTCCTAGTGTACGCATTGATTGCGTTAACCACTAATAAGTTCTTATTAGTATGTGGCAAAAATACTATATGTCCTGCTTGTGGCCAAGGTGAGAACCAGAGGTAGATTAATTGTGGTTTTGGTTTATTTTACTCACCAGGCGCTGGGGGCATTGAAAGGGAGAGCTACCGAAGTGTGAGTTGTCCAGCTGTCCTAGTCAGCTAGGAAAGTAATGTTAGTCTTAAAACGTTTACGACAGAAGCACAACGAAAATTAGTAACTCCATGCTCGGTAATTATAAAATTAAAGAGTTGGCTTGATTTGGCTGCTAAAATATCAGTCTACCTTAGACTACACTAGAAGGTGAACTCTGGGTCCCTTGTCACCTTTTTCACCTGAAAGCACTGAAACCTTATATATCATTCGTGAGCTACATCCTTTACCAAAGGGTGTCTTTTGCAAATGATTAGAGCATGCTATCTCCTTTTTCTTCATATCTTAGTCTCTGCTTTTTTTTTAAAGATTTTATTTATTTATTTGACAGAGACAGACACAGCGAGAGAGGGAACACAAGCAGGGGAGTGGGAGAGGGAGAAGCAGGCTTCCCACCGAGCAGGGAGCCTGATGTGGGTCTCCATCCCAGGACCCTGGGATCATGACCTGAGCCGGAGGCAGATGCTTAACGACTGAGCCACGCACGCACCCCTTAGTCTCTGCTTTTGACAAATAAGATGATAAATTTTTTTAAAGATTTTATTTATTTATTTGAGAGAGAGAGAGAGAGAACACAAGCAGGGAGGAGGGGCAGAGGGAGAAGAAGAGTGAGTGCAGACTCCCCACTGGGCAGGGAGCCCAACACGAGGCTCTATCCCACAATTCCAGGATCATGACCTGAGCCAAAGGCAGACGCTCAACTGACTGAGCCACCCAGGTACCCCAAATACTAACTTTCTTTAAGCGTGACCACTTAAGGTCTCAAACCCCTAAGGTTTTACATCTGCACTTTGCTGGTTTGTGACATCTATTTATATACCTCTCAATCAAATCTGAAATGAGCCAGAGATTTCTAAGTATAATGTTGGCCCAAAAATATATTTCCAAACTTCCTAAAGGAGACTTCTGTTCATCGAGCACCTACAAAGTACAACACTGAGAGCTTTTATCTACATTATTTAGTTTTTGAATAAAAAGTGAAATATTTTCTATGCTGCTAGCATTTCTACCAAAGCCCTCCACCAGCTAGATGAAAAAATGGGTTGTTTTTTGTTTTTTAAAGATTTTATTTATTTATTTGAGACAGAATGAGAGAGAGCATGAGAGGGAGGAGGGTCAGAGGGAGAAGTAGACCCCCTGCCGAGCAGGGAGCCCGATGCGGGACTCGATCCCGGGACTCCAGGATCATGACCTGAGCCGAAGGCAGTCGCTTAACCAACTGAGCCACCCAGACGCCCAAAAATGGGTTGTTTTTGATGAGTTGACTTGAATTTAATTTTAATGATTACTGTGATTTCAACTTACGATTATAGGCTTAAAATTAAATGAGCAGAGAAGGCTTCTTAGAGAAGATAATAAATAGGGTGAGTGCGTCTTAAAAGGGTCCCAATCTTATAATCTCATGCAAAAGAGCCTTAGGTTGGAGGCAAGTGATAAAGACTCAGGATCGGGTGGAAACCAAGGATACAACCTCCAAAACACAGAAATGTGTCCTGGATTTTTCTCCCAACTAAATGCCTCTTTCTATTCTCGTTCTTTTACACGTGCCTCTTTTTAAGCTTGGGGCTATTTCATGGAAACAGAAGGGATCCCAAAAGGGCATCTTGCCCAAATTCCTTGCCTCCAGGTAAATCAACCTAGAATTCATCTGGGTCACCTGGACTTGAAAATTTTAAAAAATATTTTGCCCCATGAAGAAGGCATTTGTTTTCCATGTATTCAAGCTTTTGACTCACAGGGCTCCCAGTCCAAGGTCACTGACTGCATATTGATGTAGCAGCTTCAAAGCTGTGCTTTATATTTATAGGGCCAAGTGTATTCCCTAGCAGTTAGATTATAATCACCCAATCATCATTTTTTTCCTGAATTACTATAATGTGCTAAGTCTTTTGAAGTATGTGGCTACCTATAAGGAACTTATCTTGCTGAGAAAATAAGTTAATGGGAAACAATGAGCAGACAGCACAAGAGATTTTATTTAATTTCAGCAGAAAAACAAAAATTATACTGGCGTGACCGTATAGTGATTAAGTCTATTATTCTTAGCAAATCTAGCACAGAAGATCTGAATGTCTTTGGTTCCTCTGTATGCAAGAAGAATATACACCCAAAGTAAACATTTTCATAATGCTGCATTAACCTAATACAGGGATTAGAATAACAAGATCAGCTCATGCATTTTAAGATCGTAACGCTGTACTGATGATTTTGAAGGTGCGTTTGTCTGTGTTACTGAAATGAAACGTTATGCTGCCCTAACAGAATTTAAGTTGATGCTGATTCACCTCCTGACCCTCATGGGTCCATGTTCCTGATAATGGTACACAGCACCGAGATGAGAGGAACTTAA